GCATACCTTTAACTGACTATATAACAGAGGCAAACCCATAAAAGGGGGAGGGGTACCATGTTCCCTGCCTCCCTTTACTTGTACCTGCCTTGGAATAGCTATTCGGAACTAGAGGGGGGAATCTGAGCAGCCAAGAGAAGTTATATTAACATCAAAGGTAGCTGCGCTCAGAAGAGACATGTGGAAAAGAAGGGTGTGCTTGCTTCTCACCTTTGGACTTGCACCAGGGACTTGGTAACTTGGAGCAGAAACATGGAGGGACATGTAGAGACACTGAAAGAGACATGGAGGTGAGAGACATATGGGGAGGGTAACAATGACATCCATTGTCTTGATTTTGCTCTGTTTGTCCCAGCTTTCTGGGAACTGCTTCAAAACCTCTTTCCAGTGGTTCACCATCAAAAAGTACCTTAAACTTGTGGCAAATTTTCTGGACCCAGGGAGCCCATGGCAGGCATTTACCCATGAAGGGACAGGTAACTTTGGGTGTTTTATTTATTTATTTTTAAAATTTATTTATGCACACAAGAATTGGGGTACAGGAGAGAGGTGTGGGGAGAAGGGAAGTGAGAGGACCCACCAGGGACAGAGTGGGGAGCAGAACAGGCAGATACACTGAAATACACTGCTGAGGGGAGTAGCAGGTCAAACAGGAGAGGTCTGCTGTGCAATGCGAGTTAGCTCCCTGGTCGGGGATTGAAGTCATGCTATAGTGGCGACAGCTTGATAGTGCTGAGACTTAACCTCCTGAGCCACATCAACTTGAGGTGTTTTATTGGGAAACTATTACCTTTCTTTTCTTCTCTCTCTCTATACACATTAACTCTATTCACATTCTTTTACACTAAAGTCTCCTTTGTCTTTGTGTGCATTCATAGCCAGACCCTTTTAGAGTGTGGAAGGTTGGGGGTACCAGGGTATCCCCCAGTCACATGCTAACAATTATATTTAAAAAAATAAGTTTGAAAATCTAAGGAACTAGGGGGGAAAAACCCTAAATCTAAAGCTAGCAAAAGCAGAAGATAAAGATTATGGCAGAAATAATGAAATAAAAGAGAAAATTAATGAAACCAGAAGTTGATTATTTGAAAAGATAAAACATATATATACACTTTTAGCTATATATATATATATATATACACACACACACACACACATATATACATACACACACATGCCTTTAGCTAGATGGATAGCATTACCATTACTGTATGATAGAGTATTTCCACTTCTGATTACATATTCAAGATTACTGAAAATAGACTTGAGATACCTGTACTCCTATATTCATAGCAGCATTACTGACAACAGCTAAAATATGTAAGCAACTCCAGTGTCCACTGACAAATCAATGAGTATACAAAATGTAGCATATACATATAAAGGAATATAATTCAGTCTTAATAAAAAATAATACTGTGACACATGCTACAACATGAATAAATCCTGAGGACATTATTCTATATGAAATAAAACAGTTACAAAAAGACAAATACAAGGGTCTCCCTGAGGGCACAGGGGGTTAGGACGCAACCTATGAAGCTGTCGGCAGCCACTGCAGCACAAGTTCGATCCCCGGCCAGGGACCTGCCCACATGGAGCAGTAGACCTCTCATAACTTGCCCGCTGCTCCCCTCAGCAGTGTATTTCTGTCAATCTGCCTGTTCTGTTCCCCACTCTGTCTTGGATGAGTCCTCTCACCCCTGAACCTCTGGCCCCAGTTTTTGTATGCATAAATAAATAGATCTTTAAAAAAAAGGATGACAAATACAATATAGTTCACTTATATGAGATATTTAGACCAGTAAAAATCATAAACAATACAGTGGTTAAAGTGGTTATGGGGAATGGGGCATTTGAGAGAATAAGGTGTTGTTTAATAAATACAGAGTTTCATTTTACAAGATGAAAAGAATCCTACTCTAAAGAAAAAAGTAGAAGGGAATGGAGAGTTGTTTAAAGAGCTCTGTTTTAAAGAAAAAGTGTTTTAAGTAAAAATAGAATTGCTTAAAGCCCAAATAACAACACTATAGAATAGTTTACAATGCATGCTGATGAAATACCTAAGAAAATTAAAATATATGGCACTAAAGAGTCAGGTAAATGAACATATTTTTGCAAGGTTCATGCATTTTATATGTATATTGCATTAAATCGAATTAGAGAGAAACTAAAAGTACAGATTGTAATCGCCACAGATCGACCAAACAAATGAAAGAAAAACACAAAAAGATATAGATAAAAAGTAAACAGAGGAATTAAAATGGAATAGAGAAAATAATAATTACTTAGGTCCTCCCTGGTAGCTCAGGGGTTAAAGTATCAGTGCTATCAAGCTATCACCAGGCACTGCAAGATGAATTAGATCCTTAGCCTGGGAGCTAAACCACATGGCTCAGCAGACTGCTTCCCTCTGGCCCACTGCTCCCCTCAGCAAGGTTTATCAGTAGATCTGCCTGTTCTGCTCCCACTCTGTGTCTGATGAATCCTCTTATCCCCACACCTCTGGCCTACACCCCAGTTCTTGTATGAATAAATAAAAATAAATCTTTAAAAAAAGAGCATAATAATCACTTAAACCAAATAACGGGGGGTGAGGGGGAAACAGGATTATTATTATACTACTTGCAGAAGGACTGAGCACATCACAAATCAGAAAATACTAAAAATGTGTTGTGGTAGGTCAAAGTTTGGACTACATTCAATTTAACCTGGCAGATTTGGAAAGAGAGATAAAAAAGAAAAAAGTCTATACTACTACTACAGCCCCTGAAGAAAGAAACCACAAAGGACTAGAACTAATACTAAAACTATAATCCAAGAAAACTTTGCAGGAATTTCAGTAAGTAAATCTGTATTTAGAAGGACCAATTGGAAAAATTAAATAGGAATCATCAATGTTTTACTATATATCTTAGTGTAAAAGTATTAAATTTCTAACATAAAGAAATTCTCAAGACCATAGACAAAAAGATAAAATTGATTAAAAATAACATGCAAATCAAGGCAATAACGGGGCAGTATAGAGTAAAAACTACAAAAAATGTTCACTTCATACACAGTCAAGCTGTCCTCCAAGTATCTAGGACATTGAAAGACAGTTTTTATTTAAGAATTTTACATATATCTTACATGTAAGAATTTAGGAAATTCTACACCTATGAGTTTTTCTTGAGTGGATGAACTTCTTCCAATCAAGAGATGAGAGAAAGCTTCAGAAAAGGGACTGAAAGAAAACATTTTAATATAAAAATAAACCTGTAGTAAAAATAGATGGGGATGAGGACATGTTAGGGGGAAAAGGATGTCCTAAAGCTAATTCCATACAGGCTTTGTGGACTCCACCCCCCCAACAGAAGGAAGATTAATATATAAAAGTCAGTATGTTGTGACCAAAAAAAAAAAAAAAAAAAAAGTTAATTAAAATTGGGAGAAGGTAGGGAAAGAAGAATATTCACATTAATTTTTATGTAGGTAATAGGTAGAAATTAAAGAATATTAACTCTAAGGGTATATCAATGACAAACCTAAAACAAAACTTCTAGAACAAAGCATAAGGGAAAAATCTTTGCAACCTTGTAGTATACAAACTTTTCTTAGATGAAATATGAAAAGCATAATCTACAAGAGAAAAAAATTAATGAACTGAGCTATAGCAAAATTAAAAACCTTGGCTCTGTGAAAGACACTGGTAAGAGAATAATAGATCAAACCACAGAGAAAATATTTCCAAATCACTTACCTGGCAAAAGGCTTGGATCTTGAATAGAAAAGGACTCTAAAATCTTCAACGTTAAGATAATGAACAACTCAATAAGGAAAAATGCACAATAGGTCTGAACATACATGTCACCAAAAAGATATATGGGCAGCAAATAAACAGAAGAATAGATTTTCAATGTATTTAGTCATTAGGAAAATATAAATTAAAACCACAGAATTGACAATACCAAGCATTGACAAAGTTGGAGGGCACTGGAGCTTATTGTTGCAGGGAATGTAAAGTGGCACTCACCCTGATAAACAATTTGGTATTCTCTTAAATATTTAAACACATGCTTACCTAATGGCCCTGCAGCATACTCCTACATATTTACTAGAAACAAATCAATATCTATATTCAAATAAAAAAATCTATATGTAAACATTTATAACAGCTTTACATAAATTGTCAAAAACTGGAAACACCAATGTCCATGAACAAATAGATAAATTTACATTCATACAATGAAAGCGTCTCAGCAATATGGAAGAACAATCTTCTAATATTCAAAATGAAATGGAAGAATCTCAAAAACATTATGTTAAAAAGGTGAGAAACACTGGAGTATATAATAATGCAATACTCTATCTACTTCAAATTCAAAAATAGACAAAAAATGATACATGATGATTAGGCATTAAGAATAATGACTGCTGGGCTTCCCTGGTGGCGCAGCGGTTGAGCGCTGAGCTGCGAAGCTGCCCGCAGCCTCTGCAACGCCGGTTCGATCCCCGGCCGCCGGCGAGGGTTCCAGATGGCACGCAGACCCCTCTTGCCGTGCCCACTGCTCCCCTCAGCAGTATACTTCGGTCCTTCTGCCTGTTCTGCTCCCCGCTCTGGCTCTGATGAATTTTCTCACCCTCCCGCACATCTGACTGTACCCAGTGCTTGCATAAATAAACAAATAAATCTTAAAAAAAAAAAAAAAAGAATAATGACTGCTGGAAGCAGGGGTGGGGATAACTGATTTGAGAGATGCATAAAGGTGGTTGATATGTTCAGTGTCTCAGTCTGGATAATGAGTACACATGTATACATGTTCATAAAAATTCACTGAGCTGCACACTTAAGATCTGTACATTTTACTATTCATAAATAATATTCAATGAAGTACTATTAGCTTTTTAAAAAGGAATCAATATTTATATTACTATTATCTTGTCATCTCTTTTGGTGTTTTTTTTTAAAATACTGCTTCCTTTGACTATACAAAGTCTTAACTATTTACTTTCTTTACCTGAAGGATGTTGTTCCATTCTCTTTTATTTTATTTTTCTGAATAGAAGATGCTCGAACTGACAGAATTTTATTTCCTGGCAGGGTAATTTGCTTTAGAATAGAAGCTATAAAAACAAAAGAAGAAAAAAGTAGAGAAAAAAACAATCACATAATCGAAAGCTCAAGCTGCCTTACAAACCTGCTTGAATTCAAACATGACACTGAATTTATTCTCAATACAAGAAAGCATCTTTCAAAATCAAAACCTTTTCATTTCTTTTTATAAGTCTTTAAATTGTTTTAGAATTATCAGCATTATAAAAATATGCAGAAAAGGTGACAAAAACATTGGTAAATTTTAAGAATACATCATGAAAATTCTTATGGGCATGACTGATTTTCAAATTTAGAAAAAGGTGTACATTTTAAAAATAAGTAAGGCTATGATAAAATTTTTTTTTTAAAGATTTATTTATTTATGCATACAAGAGCTGGGATGTAGGCCAGAGCTGTGGAGCAGTAGGGGGTAGGATTCACCAGAGACAGAGTGAGGAGCAGAATAGGCAGATTGTCAGTTGAAATACACTGCTGAGGGGAGCAGCAGGCGAGACAGGAGAGCTCTGCTTCGCCATGTGGGTCACCTCCCTGGCTGGGGATTGAACTCCTGCTGCAGTAGCTGCAGATGCTTCATAGTGCCACCAGGGAGGCCCCAGCTATGACAAATTTTATAAGTTCAAAAAGAACTTAACTAGGGCCTCCCTTGGTGGCGCAGCGGTTGAGCGCTGGGCTGTGAAGCTGCGAAGCTGCCCGCAGCCTCTGCAACGCTGGTTCGATCCCTGGCCACCGGGGAGGGTCCCACATGCACGCAGACCTCTCCTGCAGTGCCCACTGCTCCCCTCAGCAGTGTACTTGAGTCCTTCTGCCTGTTCTGCTCCCTGCTCTGGCTCTGGTGAATTCTCTCACCCTCCCGCGCTTCTGACTGTACCCAGTGCTTGTATAAATAAATAAATAAATCTTTAAAAAAAAAAAACCCTCACACCTTAGAAGAGGAAATAAAGAATTTAAAAAAAAATAAAGAACTTACTAGCAGATTGTTATAGTATCTACAAAATATCATGAGTAGTCATTTCCTTAATTCTAAAACAATATATAGTTGAACAAGCCAAGAATGCAACAGTATCTTTCAGTCTTCTCTCATAGGTAAGAAGTTAAAAGATCAAATCTCCCTTCTCTTAATATAACCAAAAAAGACAGTATAAAACCCCATCATGTTGGGCCTCCCTTGCACTAGCAAGGGGTTGAGTCTCAGCACTATTAAGCTGTTGGCAGCCACTGCAGTGAGTTCAATCCCCAGCCAGGAAGCTAACCAACATGGCGCAGCAGACCTCTCCTGTCCCACCCGCTGCTCCCCTCAGCAGCGTATTTCAGTCAGTCTGCCTTTTCTGCTCCCTACTCAGTCTCTGGTGAATCTTCCTACCCGCCCCAACCACCCCCACTACCTGCACCTCTAGCCTCCACTCCAGCTCTTGTATGCATAAATAAATCTTTTAAAAAAAAATAAGAAATAAAATCACACTGTGATGGGTCAGAGTCTACCTGGAGGAAACTGTGTGGTCGGTACTGCAGTGCTCACTGGCATCTTCTGTCCGGTTTTCTGAATGGTCAATGCTGAGGAATGGGAAAGTGTGGTCCCTTGTTTTGCAATGCCTCCAGAAGGTTGCTGGACTACCTGAAACAATGAGAACTATCAATAGTCATTCAACTAAACTGGCTTTGCAAAAGAACAAGTATTCAGTAATAACAACAGCACACTCAATTGTAAATATACCATTATATTAACATAACAAGGAAGCCTATTTAAAATTCAAAATACTATATAGGACCTCCCTGGTGGCAGAGCGGGTTGAGCACTGGGTTGCAAGGCTGCCCTCAGCCTCTGCAGCACCAGTTCGATCCCGGCTGCTCCCAGCCACCAGAGGAGGGTCCCACATGGCACGCAGACCTCTCCTGCCACCCGCTGCTCCCCTCAGCAGTGTACTCCCTCAGCAGTGTACCTCGGTCCTTCTGCCTGCGCTGCTCCCCACTCTGGCTCTGGTGAATTCTCTCACCCTCCCATGCTTCTGACTGTACCCAGTGCTTGTATAAATAAATAAATCTTTAAAAATAAAATAAAATACTATGTAGGCAAGATTACCTAGCTCAAAAGTGAAAAACAAGACTATTTCACACAATATATATTGTCTTTTAAAATAACTCAATTCACATTCCACACTGCCCAGTTTAAATCTCCACATGGATCCTATTTTCATTTTTTAAGAAAATTTCAAACATACACAAAAGTAGAGGGAATAATAAAATATACCATTATGCCATTTCAACAATGATTACTACAATTCTTTACCAATCTTGTTTCTTCTACATTCCTATGAACTTCTCTGCCACCCTCAATTATTTCAAAGCAAATCCCAGATATATCTTTTTATCCATAAATGCTTCAAAATATATCTCTAAGTGATAGGACTTTTAATGGATTGGGTTTTTTTAAGTATCTGGAAAATGACAATGCTAATGGCATTTTCCAAGATAACAACGGTTCAGAAATCCAGAAAGTAAGCATTGGGAATAAAAAGAAATTACATTAATTAACAGAGTCTTATTTTTAGCTTCAATGAAAACACAGAATAGCAGAGTTTCTTTTTTCATTTCAAAGAAGGGAAAAGTCACCTATATTTAAAAAGGCTATTGAAGAACAATTATTGATGAAATTCATATGGAATCACCAAAAACACAGAACAGCCAAAGCTCCCCTGAAAAAAAAAAAAAGGAATGGAGGCATCACACTCCCAGACTTCAAACTACACTACAAAGCTGTAATAATCAAAACTGCATGGTATTAGAACAAGAACAGACACACAGACCAATGGAATCGAATAGAAAATTCAGAAATAAACCCACAGATTTATGGTCAACTAATCTTTGACAAAGGAGCACAGAATACGCATTGGAGCAAAGGAAGTTTGTTCAATAAATGGTGCTGGGAAAACTGGGTCGCTACATGTAAAAGAATGAAGCTTGACTACTACCTCACACCATGCACAAAAACCAACTCAAAATGGATTAAAGAACTAGACATAAGACTGAAACCACAAAATACATAGAAGGAAATATAGGTGAAACACTTCATGATATGCACATCAAAGACATCTTTACAGACACATCACCCAAAGCAGTGATAGTGAAGGCAAAGATAAACAACTGGGACTACATCAAATTAAAGAGCTTCTGCACACCAAAAGGGACAATAACAAAAACAAAGAGAAACCCCCCCAACTGGAAGAACATTTTTGCACACAACACAATGATAAAGGACTGATCACAAAAATCTACAAAGAGCTGATGAGACTCAACAAAGAAAATAATCCAGTCAAAAAATGGGCAGAAGAGCTAAAAAGAAACTTCTCTGAAGAGGAAATGCAAATGACCACAGGCATATGAAAAAATGTTCAACATCACTTGTAATCAGGGAAATGCAAATCAAAACTACAATGAGATACCATCTTACACCAGTGAGACTGGCACATATTAAAAAAACTAGCAACAACAAATGTTGGCGAGGTTGTGGAGAAAAAGCAACTCTCCCGCACTGTTGGTGGGAGTGCAAACCGGTCCAACCACTATGGAGAGCTGTCTGGAGAGTTCTTGACCTACTAAACATAGAGCTTCCATATGATCCAGCAATTCCACTCCTAGGTATTTACCCCAAGGACATAGAAACATCAATTCCAAAGAGCACTTGCACCCCTATGTTTACAGCAGCACAATTTACAATAGCTAAACTTTGGAAACAACACAAATGCCCAAAAATAGATGACTGGATCAAGAAGATGTGGTACATATACACCATGGAATATTGCTCAGCACTCAAAACAGATAAACACATGCAATTTGCAGCAACATGGATGGCGCTGGAAGGGATCATGCTCAGCGAAATAAGCCAGAAAGAAAAAGAAAAATACCGGATGGTCTCACTCATAGCAGGAATCTAGAAAACTTAAATAAGGGACCAGGAAAAAGAATAACTATAAGAAAGAAAATATCAAAATCAACAAACAACTATGAGCCAGAGACACTCTATGGGGGGCGGGAGTGGGGAAAGGAGGGCTTGGGATCAAAATAAGGGGGTTGTAATTGTATGGGGAACATAAAAAATAAAATTTAAATATTAAAAATAAAAAATAAATAAATAAAAAAGGCTATGGATACTGAACTATTCAGAAATTCTTTTTTTTAATTTATTTTTTATAGAGGCATGTTTTATTTATTTATTTGTTTGTTTGTTTTGTTTATACATGCACTGGGTACAGTCAGAAGTGCGGGAGGGTGAGAGAATTCACCAGAGCCAAGGCAGGGAGCAGAGCAGGCAGAAGGACCGAAGTATACTGCTGAGGGGAGCAGCGGGCGGCAGGAGAGGTCTGCACGCCATGTGGGACCCTCCTCCAGTGGCCAGGGAGCAGCTGGGGATCGAACCAGTGCCGCAGAGGCCGCGGGCAGCTTCGCAACCCAGCGCTCAACCGCTGCGCCACCGGGGAGGCCCATTATTCAGAAATTCTTAAACTGATACACTGCTAATATAAACAAGCAGGTGGAAGAGTTCTACAAAATTTTAGGGATACAATTTATTCTATATTCTAATATTTTGTATGTAAAATTTTAAATTTAGTGTGTATTACTAAATAAAGTAACAAAAAATGCAAGGTGTCCCAATAAATAATTCTACAGGATTAGTGCCCTAAGCATTATCTTAGAGATGGAATTATTTTAGAAAGATGGAAATGGACTCATAGAAGAGATATATTTACTCCTACTTGGCAAGCAAAAGAAAGAACTATTGTTTTTCTACATTAACTATGTTTGGAGTATCTAAAAAGAAAGTATTCTTAAATTCCATAAAGAAGCAAAACACAAGCATGGATTAAAGAAGTCTATGAGGACATCCCACATACCTTTTCCCTCTTTATTTCAACATCAACCCATTCTCCTCTTCATAAATATACACAAATCAAATACGAACCTCAAGATAACTAAAGAAGTGCACACAAAGCTACCAGAATCAGGGTACTATCTCCTTTAATTTTTTTGTATTATTCAATAAGTACTGGTATGCAGTCACCAAAGTTGAGTTCTAGACAACAGAGGGTCCCAAATAAATGATCCCAATTCCAATAAAAATCCTGAAGTAGAATTTGGAATTTATCTAAATGCCTTATCTCAATTAAAATTCAGACCTGGTAAGCCTCAGAATATGCTATTTCCTTAAAGGCTCTTCTAAATTCTTCATAAAATTTGCTGAAAGTAATTCCTAATTTTTTTTAAAGACTTTGTTATGCATAAAAGAACCAAGGTACAGGCCAGATGTACAGGAGAGTGAGAGGATTCACCAGAGACAGAGCGGGGAACAGAACAGGCAGACTTGACTAAAATGGACTGCTGAGGGGAGCAGCGGGCGAGGCAGGAGAGGTCTGCCTCACCATGTAGGTTTTTCCCTGGCCAGCGGAGGATCGAACTCGCGCTGCAGAGGCTACGGATTGCTTCACAGTGCGATGCTTACCCCCTTGTGCCACCAGGGAAGCACTAATTTCTAATTTTTTGACCAGCTTTTACTGGAATCAATAAATCCTTCAAATTGAAAATGTATGGGCCTCTCTGGTTGCGCAAGGGGTTGAGTGCAGAGCTGTAATGCTATCCGCAGCCTCTGCAGCACAGCTTCAATTCCCAGCCAGCCAGGGAGCAACGCTCATGGTGAAGCAGACCTCTCCTGTCTCGCCCGCTGCTCCCCTCAGCAGTGTATTTCAGTCAGTCTGCCTGTTCTGTTCCCCACTCTGTCTCTGGTGAATCCTCTCACCCTCCAACACCTTTGGCCTGTACTCCAGCTCTTGTATATATAGATAAATCTAAAAAAAATTTTTTTAAAAAAATAGATTTCTTAAAAATGTATGAGTTTCTGTTAAAGAAACTGAAATGCACATATTGTATATCCTTTCATAATTTCTGCAACCAGTTCTTAAATGGCTCAGGAAAAAATGTCTGGGTGTGTGACTAGAGAGAAGAGACAAATGTGGTAAAATATTAATAACTGAGATTTGGCCAACGGCATAAAAGGACTCATTTTTTACTAGTCTTGTAAATTTTCTGAATGTTTGAAATTTTTGAAATTAGAAATGGAAGAAGAAATGAAACATTACTCACTAGTTGTTTGACTTTAACTGTTTGTGGAATAGCAGCTGGTTGTGAAAGAATGGGGCCTGGCTGTGAAAGTTTGATTTGAACTGGAGTGCCAATGACAGGCTTGTCACATGTAGTCCCAGCAGAAGTAACAACAGGCTTCACAGGTGGAAGACAAATCGCTGCTGCTGAAGTTTCTCCTATAGTTACTGATGGGAGGGTCAATGTTACTGCTGCCCCAGAGACAGCTGGTGTTTCGGGTTGAAGTGAGACTGCTGCAACTGTATTTTGTATAGATGTCACAAGTGGTTTTGGAGCCTGAAGCAAAACAGTTCCAGCTGTTGTTCCTCCTGATACAGCAGCTGGACCCACAGAATGAAGTGTCACAACGCCAGTATTTGCTCCCGCTGGACCAGCAAGTGGATTCAGAGTTTGCACTGATACAGTTCTGGGTGTTGTTGTTCCAGATACAATGATGGGTTTTTCGGACTGGATTGAGGAAATTGTTGTTGTCACCACAGGAGAAGATGTTGCTGTTGTGGCACAGGTAGCAATAACTAGCTCACTAGAAGTCTGCTGAACACACTGCTGAATAAAGCTCTGGGAGTTAGGTATAAGTTGTCGTAAGGCATTCATACTTTTCTAGAGACAGAGGGAAAAAAAAACAAACATGGATAGCCAAACAAATTAGCTACTACAATATAAGGCAACTTTGTACTTTACATTATTACAAAATAAAACTATATCAAGTGTTTCTACAGAGGAAATCTGTATCACTAATTTATATTCTGTCCATATCCAGGATAAATCAATTTAAAGACCAAAAGCACTTCACTTTTCAACACAAAATTGGTGTGTCTCAATATTATTCTTATTTTAGTTACTATAGCTCAACATCAATTTGGTAAAATGAAACACCATATCATACTTGTTCATATTCATCTAAACCACATAACCTTAATAACTTTAGCATCTATAAGTTTATTTATATGATATCAGAACCTTAAAAAGTTTTGTTAAATATGTTTCAAATTTTGGATTGAAATAGTCTCTTCATCAAAAAAAAATAAACACAACCAAGGTAAATTTCCTAGTTAAGCTAGAATATTTTCTGACTGGATTTTAAGATGGTGCCTATCTTTGTAGCTGCTGAGAGAATTAAGGCAGTTAAAACTAAAAAGTTACAGTTCTACCTTTTTATTTTGTTTTTGAATAAGTAAAAGAGACGGAAAAGAAGGTAGATAGCAGGTTATCTTTTGGTCATTGACTGTTTTGGCAGATTTTCTTGTCTTTTTTAAATTTAAATTTTGTCAAACTCAAGAAGCAAATGAGTACTATTACCCCCTTTCCTTTCATTTGCTTTTACTTATTCCTTTATATTTTCTATTAAAAAAGATTGAAAAAATTCTTATATGACCTCCTCAGACAAGAAAATATATATACACACATACACACATACACACGTGTGTGTGTGTGTGTATAAAACAAAGAAAAATAAGAAGCAGAAAGTATTGTATAATCTTTTTTTCCAAACTTCAAATATGGTAGAAAACAAGAAATAAGTTGTTTTAGAAATAAAATGAAGTAATTTGAGTAATTAGATTTAAGGTAGAGATTTAAGGTGTGGGGGTTCTGAGAAAAACTCAATTGGAAAGAAATGTTAAAGTAGTAAGACTTAAAGAGGCAACAATAAAAAATGTTTGTCTAAATAAGCTTTTGGTCACCTGGCCAGGGTTGAACTTAAAAGCTGAATTCCTCATCCCTATCCAACTTCCAATCTCCAAAAGTTCCCAAATATAAGAGGAAATGTTTTTTAAAAATGCATAAGGCTTTTACATAAGGCTTAGATAACAGATACAAAGTGAAAAACTTGGTAACTGAAAGGTAAAGTTACTTAGCAAGTTGAGCCAGACAGACTAAATTCTGGACCTGTGAGTTTATCAAAAGATAGTCAATTTAAATGATTTTCTCATCTCTAAAAATGCAAAATACTATGTAACACCTCTTCTTTTGGAGAAAAGCATCAGACACATAGTAGGTGCTAACTTCTCTTTTCTCTTACCATGACTTCAATAAGTTGAAATGTGATAAACTCAAGAGTTGTCTGTGTTATGTGGAACACCTATAACTCACAGAACTTTTGCACTGAAAGGAACCCAAGGAAGAACTGCCTCAAACTCTCAATCAGGAGGGTCATCCAGAAACAGGGCACTAGTTGTTTGAATACTAGGTGCTGTACCGATCATTAAACTTTCCCTTCCTCAGGTCAAGTCTTCCTGGCTAAAATAATCATGGTTTCGTTAACCATACTATAATTACATGACTGGCTCCCTCCTAATCAATATGGTCACCTTTTAGGGTCAGTTTCCACAATTTTAGTTTCCTACTGGAAATGTGGTACCTCATCTCCCTTCCTACTCTTCTTTCATGAGGTAACAAAAGGGAGTCTTCTGTTATGAAGCCTCGTTCATCTTTCTTACATGATTAAGCTAAAATTTCCCAAAGGCAACTAACTCCTAATTCCATTATTTTAAAAGGTATGGGATGAGTCTTTGGTTCACTATAGCTTCTGATCTTTAACGTCTTTATAAATTTCAATTCAATTTCATTTCAGATCTGAGTATTCAAAAGAAATACTTTCCCTGCCAAGCCAAGTTCTTATTAACAGTTATTATTCTCCATCAAATTCCACTTAATTCAATAAATCATAGACAGGAGTATGACAACATAAGTTGTTTTTTTAATATTAGACCGAAATACACTGCTGAGGAGACCAGCAGGCGAGAGAGGAGAGGTGTGCCACACCGTATGGGTAGCTCTTGCCACAGTGGCTGGTAACAGCTTGATAGTGCTGAGACTTTAACCCCTGTGCCACCAGAAAGGCCCCTGGTTTATTATTTCTAAAAAAACATGAGTCATTAGGATAAAAAATAGGTCTTATATATATTTTCAATGAGTCCAGAATCTTTGTGTATATAAACATTAAACAATAAAATTAAGTTTTGTTAATATGTTATTTGTTTTCTCAATGTGTTCCAATACAAAGAATATGGTTTGTGAACATATTTTACAAATTACAATAGCACTGAATGGTTTCTCCTACAGTGTTAGTATCTTCATATTAAATTCCTATCATAATGAAATATTCAGGTTTTTAATTATTTCAAAATAATCAATCCAAACAATATTTTCAAAGTAACATATGACTACCTTAAGAAAAGGAACTAGGTGAGGCTGAGGCGAAGACTTGAGTTCAACATATAGTTGTCGAGTAAATTCTTCTGCTTCAATTTTTGCTTCCTGAGGGATGAGAGAAAGAAAACACTTTTTTTTTTTTTTTAATAGAGGCATGCTTATTTATTTATTTGTTTGCTTGTTTGTTTGTTTGTTTGTTTATACATGCACTGGGTACAGTCAGAAGCGTTGAGAGAATTCACCAGAGCCAGAGCGGGAAGCAGAGCAGGCAGAAGGACCGAAGTACACTGCTGAGGGGAGCAGCGGGAGGCAGGAGAGGTCTGCGCGCCATGTGGGACCCTCCTCCAGTGGCCGGGGAGCAGCCAGGGATCGAACCGGCGCCACAGAGGCTGCGTGCAGCTTTGCAACCCAGCGCTCAACCACTGCGCCACCGGGGAGGCCCAGAAAACACTTTTTAAGTCCAGAAATATTTTAAAAGAGAAAGAATATATAACTCATGAACGCAGACATTGCAAGCTTTGCACAGTGTTAAAAGGAACATTAAATGGGGTCATTTTTTCATATGATCTATAAAATGAATAATCAAACGAGATGTTTGTTCATATAAAAATAAATACAATGAAGGGATTTTTTTTTCTTTTTAAGAATCCTATAAGCTGAATCACAGAAGAGCTGGCTCACAAAATGAGGCTATAGTATTATAGTTTCTTAAAAATTAAGAGGTAAAGACACCAGAGTCCTAAATTTCTTAGAGTAGGGAATAGTAAGTTCTTTGTTTGGGGGACCTTGAGTTTTCTTGTTTTGCTTTTTTAATTTTTAAATTACCTTAGCTAAGGTAAGACTATATTTTTAGAATGCTATTACACAGACAATAATAATAGATACCCTATTGTTCCAAAGGACTTAGGAACCATTCCATACTGTTTTACATGCTAAGTATTCAGTCGCCTATGATGTCTAAGTTATAATCACATTAATAAATTTGGGGGCCCTTTTTCACTGTGCTGAGATTTGTACTGATAATCAAAAAGCAACAGTGGGTAAAAGTGCTGGCAAGAAAGGAAATGACAACAAATTGAAATAGTTATCACATTCTACATTACTATGCACTAGTAGTAAAAATAAAAAATAAAATGTTTGCCTTTAAGATGTCCTTGATGAAACAGTAAGAATTCATTTTAGTAAATCACAACCCTTAGTAAATGTCTTTTTAGTATTAGATATGACAAAATAGGATTCATATATAGATCATTTCTGCCTCAGACCAAAGACAGAGATCAAGGAATAACACTTTTTTATTGAGTTGCTAGCTGAACTAGCTGATTTTCATTTATTGCAAAGAAGTCAAATCAACTGTGGTTAGGACCTCCCCTGGTGGGCAGCAGTTGAGCGCTGGGCTGCGAGGCTGTCCGCAGCCTCTGCAGTACCAGTTCATTCCCCAACCACCGGCGAGGGTCCCACCAAAACAAAAAAATCAATTGTGGTTATTCAGACTTGGATATTTGATAGACAACCTGTCAAACCAACAAACCAACCAAACTTATCACTATGAGGAAAACAACTGACAGTAGTTGTTGCTAATGACAAAAATTAGAGTACTCACACCAAAATTAGAATTCTAGAAAATCTGTAACTACAATCCTTAGCTTAATAGCATCCAGTATTTAAATTTCTGGTGAGATTCAACTATGATTTTTTTTTTCTATCTTAGGTAACCAATCTTTGGGAGATCTGCACAGCTCAATGAACAATGTTTTCCAAAAGACCAAATGCATGCAATTATAAAAGTCATGCATGGATAAGAGATCTGGGAATGCAAGATCAATCAGTAGACTCTAAAGAATCTAAATGATCTGGAAAGAAAACCTCTTAAAATATTTCCTTTCCCAACTACCTTTCTGCATGAGGTCAGATATTCACCAAACAAACACTTTGACCAAAATAATATATCACAATTAGGACAAAAACAGAAGCAGATTACGAGAATCCAGCTATATCTATTAAGTCAGATATTAAAAACTGTTACAAAGATGTCACTTATTCAATTTTTCATTTTGGAAATTAGTTTTAATCTAGATGTTATTTATTATTTATGTTAACAACTAACGGACTTACTGTTATTTTAAAACAAATTAGTAAATTTAAATTTGTTTTAAATTTCTGATTTAATCTCCATCTCCACAAAAGCAAAATGTCTTTCGGAATCCTTAATTTTTAAGAATATGAAGGTATCCAAAAAATAAACTGTTTAACAATTGTTATTTGCTGTTCTAAGCTAAATAGGTCATAAGATAGAAAGGTATTAGATTAATCTGACTGCTCCTAGCTATTCACAAAAATTCACATAAATTCTTTGTACTTGGATATTTTTTAAAAATGTTTATTGGGTAAATGTTCCTTTGCTTTCATGCGTCTTCCTCTAGAGTTTTTAATCTCAGAGAAACAAGTTACCAGATTCCCTTTCAAAACTAGCATGGCTTGAAAATGAAAGATAAAGTTTATAGTTTCAAAAAGATGCTCAAGTTAAATTAAAAACATATTTTTATGACATAATTTTAAATATCTAAAATAGTTTCCTCAAATGGAAAAGTAACCACTTAGATTATACTCTATTTCTAACAAATTATAGGTAGAATAAAAAGCAATAATAAAAAAGGTATTTCAATACTTTAAAATTATGCTTGTATTTCTATACATCAGTTGAAATATGCAAATCTTAGGCTGGGAAAAGGTGATCAGTTTTATATAAAGAAATACACAAAAATTCTCATTATATGGGCAGAAAATTTATAGATTTTAGTATTTAAAAAAATCCCAGTGCATCTGTCTGTTATAATTTCAGCATATAGCTTAACCACATAATGTGCAGCATTTGCTAATTTCCACTTTCATCCATTTTAATATATCTAAGCATTTCATCTGAAAGAAGATATAAGAAACCAAAAATGTGTAATTTTATAGCTGAAAGACACAGCATACTGGCATTCTCACAAACCTCAAAGATCTCACATTTACTCTTTTCAATTAAGAAGAAAACTGAAACCTACAAAGGTTAACTTTTACTTCCACAGGTCCCCAAGTTTGTTGTTTGGACATAAAACTGAATTTCATTATCTGCAGATAGCCTATCTTTCTGGCATTTGCAATTCTACTAACAATTTTTTATTTGACCAAATAATCAACCTTCTCTCCAAGGCATCTTTCCAGGGTAGCCTAAAACCTTATCTCCATGCTACAGAAAGTAATATATAACAGATTTACTTGTCTAGGATTTATAAACATTACATAGCTTTCAGGAAGCAAAACCAAAGTTCATAAAAAATTTCATTTAAAGTAAGCCTCATTTAAAAATATTAATTTCCCATTTGAAACATATTCTAAGGATTCTTACAGAGGTGCAAGTTTTTTTTTTTTTTTTTTTTTTTTTTTTTTTTTTTAAAGATTTATTTATTTATTTGTTTATACAAACACTGGATACAGTCAGAAGCGCGGGAGGGTGAGAGAATTCACCAGAGCCAGAGCAGGGAGCAGAGCAGGCAGAAGGACCGAAGTACACTGCTGAGGGGAGCAGCGGGCGGCAGGAGAGGTCTGCGCGCCATGTGGGACCCTCCTCCGGTGGCCAGGGAGCAGCCAGGGATCGAACCGGCGCTGCAGAGGCTGCGGGCAGCTTCGCAACCCAGCGCTCAACCGCTGCGCCACCGGGGAGGCCCCAGAGGTGCAAGTTTTATAGTACAACTTACCAAAAGTTGTTCCACCAGCTTCTTTACATTCTGTCCCATTTCTGGGGACTGTGATCCACTGCATGCTAGTTTTATTAACATTGCGAGGAAGTTCTTACATTTCTTCACATTTTCTAGCATTGCCTAATACAGAAATACAAACACAAATGTTTGCTAGAAAACAGAAAAAGTAAATCTTTTTTTTTTAAAGATTTATTTATTTATGCATACAAGAACTGGGGTACAGGCCAGAGGTGCAGGGGGTGAGAGGATTCACCAGAGACAGAGTGGGGAACAGAACAGGCAGATAACAGAAATACAATGCTGAGGGGAGCAGTGAGCGAGCCAGGAGAGGTCGCTGCACTGTACGGGTTGCTCCCTAGCCAGCCGGGGGATCGAACTCATGCTGCAGTGGCTGCAGATAGCTTCATAGGTTGCATCTTAACTCCTTGCGCCACCAGGTAGGCCCTGCAAGTAAATCTTTAAAAGCTGTATTTATGTACGGTACAAGTGAGAACTTACCGGAGAAAGATTAGTCTGAGCAGCTGCTGAGTTCTCTGCTTTGAGACTGGGCTCATTTGAGGGGACAGGTAAGGCTCCCAAATTTGAAGTCTTCAAGTTAGATACAGTATTCAACGGCTTCACTGGTGTAACTGTGACAACATTAGTTGGCACAGTCACAGACTGAAATTAAAAGTAGCATATATTTAGATGTGAATTGCTATGATAGGTATCATAGTGGTGCTTCATTTCATAATTATCAGACTACAAATGGATCCTGCCTGACATCTTGCTTTTCTGTTACTCTATTAATCTAAGGCAATGTAATCCAGCTGTAAGAGCTCTAGTAGCAGACCTAGGATTCATTCTCATCTACCTTCTTTTCATTGACATCTGCTGAGTGCTGACTTCAACCAAATTACCTAATTCTGTTAATCCTGACTCCTTTCTGTAAAAAACAATTAACAATGGCACCCACTATCTAGGACTGTTAGTGAAAAAGTCCTAAACACATATCCTTAGTAATTACTAATACTTCTCTAAGAAAGATTTGCAAGAGCAAGTATTTATATAAAAATATATTAATAATATTTACCTGTTCTGTAATTTTCTGCTTTTTCTTAAGTATAAAGCAGAGAGAGCTACTAGTTATCTTATATTCAGATAAGCTGCTGATATGTAGACTATTAGAGTAAGCAAAATGTATAAGACATAGTAACCTTTTTTCACACCAAAAAGCATTTCAGTTGTTTCTTTCACCCTCTATTGAAATGAGGTGTGATTATAGCACCATCTGCAGGATAAAATGTTTAATACACACAAGAAATCATAGTTGTAAGTAATGTAGATAGATAAAAGGAGAGAAAAGCAACAACCTCATTTTATAGACAAACACTAAAAGTTACAGGCCATAAGTAAAGTTTGGGATGGAGGAGAGAAAAGTATTTACAATTCACACTGAGAAACTTTACACTATCATTTGAATTTAAATGCTTGCGTGTTCTACAGGTTGAACAGTTTGGTATTGCTATCATTTTCAAGAAAATTTCCTTCTTTAAAGTCAAGACAAGTGAATTTAAATGTACACCCAAATTTCCCATGTAAAAAAGACTGGAACATATATTAGACAAGAATCCTTAATTTTTTTTTTTTTTAATTTAAGATCATTTTAGGGCCTCCCCAGTGGCGCAGTGGGTTGAATGCAGTACTATGGAGCTGTCCACAGCCTCTGCAGCGCAGGTTCGATTTCCGCCTGGCCAGGGAGAAATCCATATGGTGGGGCAGCTGCTTCCCTGCCTGCTGCTTCCCTCAGCAGTGTCTTTGGTCTGTCTGCCTGTTCTGCTCACCGCTCTGTCTCTGGTGAATCCTCTCATCCTTCCGCGCCTCTGACCTATACCCCAGTTCTTGTATAAAATAAATAAATCTTAAAAAAAAAAAAAAAAAAACAAAGCACTGACATTCTCTGAGACAGGTTTCTTTAAAAAATAAAATAAAATCATTTTAATACACAATACTTGATGCTTCCTGCATTTATCTGATAACCCCACAGCACAAAGGCTTTTAACAGGGAAAAAGGCATGACTGAAGGTAAAATAAGAAAGAAATTAAAAATTAATGGCAAAGACTAAAACTAAAAATGAAATGTTAAGCAAAAAAAAGTAACGTAAAAAATTAGTATGATTTTATTAAATATAATTAAGTCTCAAAAACAACAATGAAAGTGAAGACTCTATCCTATTCCTATCCTTAGTCAGCTTCTTTAGGGACAACTACTGTGCAGTTTCCTTTGAATCATTTTGGAGATTTTCTTATAAGCTTTTTTAAGTTTATGTAGAGCAAAGAAATTCTCTTTCTTCAGTAAGTATATTCTATATTGAGCCATCAACTCTTTGTTCTACTATATTTAAGAAAGTGTGATCAGAACCATCTAGTGAGATTATGACCTTTCAAGACTGAAGAGATGAATTCCCAAAGGAAATATAGTCCACAAGATAAATACCAATGAAAATTGAGCCCCAGAAAAGTGTCCTTTTTGTGTGAGTAGAAGCAGAATTTATGGCATTTCTACTTTCTTGTTAATATTTTGTTTCCAGCACAAAATTTATCCTTCATAACTCTTTAATATACCTACTATACTTTACCAGTTATAAGGCACCTTCCATGCCAATTTCACCTCTTACCAGACATGGTAAGGTAGATAACCTGGTTTTATCCTATCTATATAACCCCACTGCAGTAATGGATGGACTGTCTTAAATTCTAATCATAACTCTGCCTTGCTGTTCGAAACCAGCCAATGGAACTTCCATGCTTTGTAGGCCTGTTCCGGTACTGATTTCAGACACACTTGCGAAACAGGTGGGAAAAGCACTGGTAGATATGGGAAATAAACCTGTGAAAATTAGACTTAGAGCTAGCAGAGCTAGCAAAATAAGTTGTAAGCAATTTTAGGAGACCAAATGCAATTTTAAGGAGGGCCATTTTCTTTCTTTCTTTTTTTTTTTAATTTTTTATAGAGGCATGTTTATTTATTTATTTATTTGTTTTGTTTTGTTTTTGTTTATACATGCACTGGGTACAGTCAGAAGCGAGGGAGGGTGAGAGAATTCACCAGAGCCAGAGCGGGGAGCAGAGCAGGCAGAAGGACCGCAGCACACTGCTGAGGGGAGCAGCGGGCTGCAGGAGAGGTCTGCGCGCCATGTGGGACCCTCCTCAGGTGGGTGGGTGGGGGGGGGGGGGCAGGTTCGCAACCCAGCGCTCAACCGCTGCGCCACCGGGGAGGAGGAGGGCCATTTTCTAGACGAGTCTGAAATCACTTTGGATCTGTTCCCATTTAATTAGAAATGCTAATTAGAAATGCTAATTCCAGAACCAATCATATGCACAGTAGAGTTTAACCTAACAAAGGGGCAATATACATCAAATACAATATAAAAGTAAACAAGATTTCACACTAGTTTCTGTGTAACATTTACTAAATGAGACCACGTTTTACTATAGAACTAACTACAGTCCATTCTAACGATAAGCTATGGAAGGGACAAACCAGGCCATGTTTTAAGCAAATTTTAAACAAATTTCAACACCTATTAATAGGAAATACTTTCAAAATTTCTTAATACACATTTGCTTTTGTATTCAAAGTACAAAGAATATTATTTTCTCTATTTTCCAGCTGTAGCTCCTTATTTCCAAGCAATACCTAAATCTAAGCTCAGAGTGAGCACAAATATTATTCCTCAATTTCACTGTTTGATGAGTTCTACTGCTTTGGCCTACCATCCACTGAGAAGCAACTTAGCTTAAAATATGCACTGATATCAATCAGAAAAAGCTGTAAACAACCCACAGCAATATTCGATATTCATATGGAAAAATAATTTAAGGAAAAGAATCCAGAGATACCATTTAAAAATTATCAAATGCATTCAATCTTTAAGATACAGATGTAATGGAAAAACTCATCTCTATATAGCTAAAGTGACAAAAACCCTTTCAAAACTATGTAATTGAATTTAAATTCTTAAAAATCAGTATTTTCCTGACATCTAAACATCTCCTGAAATAGTCTGTGAGCACCCCACCCAAGTGACTAGGTATACCCATGTAATAAGGCTTATCCCTGCCACAAGTTCCCCTACTTCCCTTCCTTAACTGTACTCTAGTGCCATTTAACAGATATGAAATCCCCTCAGACCTTTTGCTTCTGTACTCCACCCCAACTCTCAATAAAGGCACTTGCCTCCAAGTCCTTACTCTCTCCCAGTTTCCTGTTTGGTCAAGTCCCCTTGCCTGTTCCTCCTACATGGTCCCCTGCATAACATGCTATGCTGTCCTTTTCCAGGACCTGAGGATTATAAATTTCTTACTTTCAGACACTTCTCTGAAAGTGTCTATATTCCATATCTATATCTGACTGAGCATCAAAAAAACCCATAATTATTTCTCATAATACAATAGTAAATATCAGGAGGCCAAATTCATACCCTTTGGCCTAATGGGGCAGAGGAAAATTGTCCTAAACAGGGGTGGAGAAAAACTAGAATTTCAGATAATCAGTACAGAAGCCATTACAACAGTCCTCAGAGTCAGATAAAGACTTTGGCACAAATAACCCCGTTAACACACATTAGCAAACATCATTCAAGTTTCTTATGCTCTCCATACCGATTTCACCTATATAAAATGGAGATAATATTTCCGAATAGAGTAGTTACAAGGATAAAATGAGATGATATGTAAAGCACCTAAAATGGGTCAAGGACATTAAATGCTCAATAACTGGTATCCTTTATTAAGGGGGGGAGTGGAACAAACTGTTTACAATTAGATTCACTGCTCTGTTAGAAGAATAAGAGCAGTATATGGTTAAATAAAATTAGAACCCAACGAAGGCTCTGCTCTACAATATGGGATTTCATGTAACGTGTTCTAAGAAAATACATTCTCTGATAGCAAAGGAAGTGTGTCAGTGGTCACATGACCAAATGATCTTTTGATTGTACATCCATGACATGACCCAGAAGCTGCTGGCCTAGTAAAGTCTTAGAGCATTCTGTAGAAGGCACCGATGAAGTGCAAACTCATAAACAAAACTCTATGGAGATGTAATTTTGTCTTTCATCTTCCAAAATTCAGTGTACTCACAGAATCAAAAAACTCTTTATGCACTATTTTCCCAGTAAGAACCAAGGAAAGGTATAAACAGATAAATGGATCCACTTAACTATCACCTCCAAGTTCCACAAGGGACTATACTTTCCATTTCTGCCCACAGAAGGCACATTTTCACCCTAAGACACTGTAAAAATTCCTATGAACTAGCTCCTATGGCTGTCTGCTGGGCTCTTTGGATTCCTTGTGTCCTGCGGCCAGCAGAAAAGAAAGCCGTCATTATCATGACAGGAGTATAATGATCTGACATTTGGAATAGGTAAGGCTGCTATTATATATAATGGAGGCAGAGAGAAATATATGAGGTGAATCAGATGATCCACATAAGTGCCTCTTGGTATTTCCTTGCCCAATTGTGATGATTAATGGACAAGTGCAGCAACTCTTCCTTACCTGAAAAGAGCATGATAATTAGAACCTCAGATTCTCTAGGTCTGAAGGTATGGTCACACTACCAGTTAAGATACCAATATCAGCAAAATTAGTAGTTGAATACGAGGGGAATGCAGAGTGGATAGTGAAGGAGGAAAATGACACCGATCAGCTACAGAAACCCATGGGCCTCCCTGGTGGCACAAGGGGTAAAAATAGCACTATAAAGCTATCTGCAACCACTAGCACGAGTTCGATCCCTGGCTGGCCAGGGAGCTACCCACATGGTGCAGCAGACCTCTCCTGTCTTGCCTGCTGCTCCCCTCAGCAGTATGTTTCAGTCAGTCTGCGTGTTCTGTTTCCCACTCTGTCTCTGGTGAATCCTCTCACCCCTCAACACCTCTGGCCTGTACCCCAGTTCTTGTATGCAAGCAAGCAAGAAACCCACTGGAATCCCAGAAGTAGATGCCAGCAATGCAAAATATAGACTGATACCTGATCAAAAGGAGAAATCTGTGTTGCCCTTGCTGCTGGGAATGCTACTTAACAGCCTCCAGTTTTCAGTTCCTTCAAAGTTTGTCTCAGCTACAAAAAATTGCTTTGCCCAAAAGCACAACTCCCCCTCAAGAGTATAAATCTAATATCTGAGCACAGAGGGGCCATTAAGAACCAGTTGACCATGTTGACACACAGTGGCACAACTCTGACAAGCTGTATTTGCTTCAAATTTCTCTACCACAGTGACTGAGGTTTTACTTGCTCTGCATCTAGTTCACTCTTATTTATTCTCCTTCCCTTTCACAGATATCAGTCCTTGAAAAATATCACATACATCAAAATTTTGTTGAAGCACCTGCTTGTATATATTGTGACACATAGTGATCAGGTACATTTGCATTAATTTAATAGTATCTAGCAAAAGTGATATTCTAAGAATTACATCATGTTTATTGTGTGATTCCCAAACTTCTAACAGCTCCTAGTTTGATAAATGACATCATATAACATTCAATTGCTCTCTTCAATGCCATATAGTTAGCCACTTATACATCTGGCAGGAAACAGCTAAAAAATAAAGAGAGATGAAAGAATAACCAAAGTACACAGGGCCACAAGTAAATCATGACTTACTTGTACTGAAGAAGGCTTCTGAACAGAGGTTACCACAGTAGTACCCACTTGTGCCAATTTTTTAACAGGTGCCACTGCCATGTTCTTGATTAATTGTGAACTAGAATTCTGGAGGTGGGGAGTGGGAGGGAGACAATACAGTTATCAGTGTTATTAATTTAAAATCAATTGTTTGCCAGCAATTATGGCAAACATTATAATACTTTACCTTATCAAACTTCTCTGTTGTAACTCGCTTTACAACTTTATGGGTTTTATGCATGTTCCTTACTATGAATCTAACTGATTCACATTCCTATGAAAGCAACTGATTTAATAAATAAATATCATAGCATTTCATCAATAAAATCTTGAACTTTACTCTTCGGATCACATAGAAAACTTACAGATTTTTATTTAACAATGAACAAAAATCTGCTAATCTATCTTCTCCACCAACAGCAATTAGATAAAGGAAACTAGAAAGGCAAGGAGCAGCTATAATCACCAGATACAGTAATAGAGAGAAAATGAGTGGTTGAGAATCTAGAGATAAGGAGAGCACAAAATGGGGGGAAATGAACTGGCAGAGAATAGTATAACCATAGAATACAATCCAATCTTTCATCAAGATGAGCCTGACTCATCAAGACAATGCTATGCTACATTCAGTACTGGTTGCTGAATGAAATAAAGATGCCATAAAAATAAACTCTTAATTCTGGCACAAAGATAAGCTTTAGTGATCTAGAAAGATTATCATGTATGTAAAATAAATAAGTTTCTTACAATCTCAAATTAAGGAAAATTTACAGCTGGTTCTGAATTTCTTAAAGGTAATGACTGGAAGATGTAGATAATAATGAATACTTGAAATTGTAGTGTTAATACTTTTCTACAAATTAAAATTAAAGTGGAAGACGCAAACAGTCCTTCAAACATTCTCTTGAGGCCTACAAAATCTTTGAGTAGGAAAACTAACATTTTATTATTTTAGTAATTACCAAACAACAAAACCAAATATTTCAATTAAATTGGTATGGGGGAGAATTTACAGAGGTAGAGGTCACTTAAATTCTAAAAGTTGAGCAGAATCACCTCTTTATCTTACAGGCAAATGTGTACGCATTTATATGGAGATAGTAGCTAGAAACTAAGGAAGATGGAAAAAAAACTTAAAGGTATATTACCGGCATTGTACAAATTTTGACTGTTTGAGAATTTGTTGGCCTTGAAGTTACATTACTTGTTGTCTCAGGTCTTGTTACAGCTTGTTGAGGAGATACCAACATCAACTGTCCACTGTTACTTTTGATCAAAACTGTTCCTATAATTAAAAGGGAAAAAAGTGACTTCTGAGTTAATAAAGGAAATAAAATCACTGTGTATTTTCTCCAATTTATTTCAACACTAAAACATGCTCTTCAATAAGTGATTACTACTACATTCTGAATTCCTCATCTGTTATTATAAGTAATACAGAAAAATGCTTTCACTCAAGCTATTCTAAACATTCCAAGTCTAAGTACATGGACAAGAAACTCCTGAAGGCAAAAATACTTTTCCTCTATAATATCAAACTATTTATAAAACTACAAGAAGTAAAACAGCACAGTAACACACAAAAACCACACAAACTGACCAATGGAACAAAGAACCCCAAAATAGAGTCAGGGAGATATGCCATATCAGATTTTCCTAAGGGACAATGAATATTCTTTGATCAGTGAAAATAAGAGAAACTATTCAAGAAACTGAGGTGGGGGGACTCCCTGGTGGTGCAAGGGGTTTAGCACCGCATTAGGAAGCAAGAGTAGCCTCTGCAGCAGGAGTTCGATCCCCAGCCGGCCAGAAAGCTACTCACATGGCACAGCAGACCTCTTCTGACTCACCCGCTACTCCATTCAGCAGTGTACTTCGGTCCGCCTGTTCTGTTCCCCACTCTGTCTCTGGTGAATCCTCTCATCCCCAGCATCTCTGGCCTGTACCCCAGCTCTTGCATGCATAAATGAATAAATTTTTTTTTTTAAAAAAAAGAAGGCCTCCCCTGGTGGTGCAACGATTTAGCACTGGGCTGCGAAGCTGCCCGCAGCCTCTGCAGCACCGGTTCAATCCCCAGCCACCAGCAAGGGTTCCACATGGCGCAACAGACCTCTCCTGTCATGCCCACTGCTCCCCTCAGCAGTGTATTTCATCAGTCTGCCTGTTCTATTCCCCGCTCTATCTCTGGTGAATTCTCTCACCCTCCCACGCTTTCTGACTGTACCCAGTGCCTGTATAAATTTAAAAAAAGAAAAGAAAAGAAATTGAGATGGTTTAATTAGTTACCTATATGAAAATGATGAAAAGTTTACACTATACATACACACACGCACATACATACACACACAAACAGGGCATTAAGAATAAAACATGGAAAAGAATTTTAAATTTAGACAATGTAGAAAGTTATCTTTCTAAACTTGGGATATGAAAAATACTCTTAAGTTTGATGCAATAAACTATATTAAAAAGAAATTTTTTTGTTATTTATTTATCTATTTATTTATTTATACAAGAACCAGGGTACAGGTCAGAGGTACGGGAGGGTGTGAGGATTCACCAGAGACAGAGTGGGGAACAGAACCAGCAGACTGAAGAAATACACTGCTGAGGGGAGCAGGGGGCAAGGCAGGAGAGGTCTGCCTCGCCATGTGGACATCTCCGCAGCCGGCGGGGATCAAACCAGCACTGCAGAGACTGTGGAAAGCTTCACAGCACTGCACTCAACCACCTGTGCCACCAGGGAGGCCCTTATAAACAAATTTTGTTTAACAAAAGATACTATCAAGTAAAAAGACAAAACAGAAAATGGCAGAAAATTTTAGTTAATAGATATTCAAAGGACAAATATCCAAATATCTAAAATGTGCAAAAGGAACACCAATGACAATGACAGGGATAGGTAAATTAATGCCACAGCATTTTACATCTATCTAGATAGGCAAAGATTAACTAGTCCAATGGAGATAATTAAATTGGAGAGATGTGCAATAGCAGGAACTCTAATATCTTAATGATAGTAGTGTAAATTGGTACAACAGCATTTTTCAATTACATAAATATGTCAAACTGATTTTCATTTGTATACCCTTTAACCCAGTATTTCTAATCTGAAGAAATTATTGTTCACGTCAGTAAAGGCACAAACAAGAATACTCATAGCTGAAATTCCATTTTCAAAATGATAGCATGAAGACTTCAACAAACTCAGCCCCAGCAAAACAAGCATAACTGGTGAACATTATTTTTAAATTTTTTAAAGATTTATTTTTATTTATGCATACAAGAACTGGGGTGCAGGTCAAAGGTTCAGGGTGGGGATATGTGTGAGAAGATTTACTAGAGACAGAGTAGGGAGCAGGACAGGCAGATGCACTGAAATACACTGTTCTTTTATAAAGTCCCATGCTGCAACAGGTAAGCCAAAGACTCAGGGCTACCACCTGTGTCCAGCACTGCACCTCTAGAGTAGAAATATCATTCACACCTAATTGCTGTTCTAAATACCACTCTAGAGAAACTAATTGGCTTTATTTCAAACAAAGTGTAGAGAAACTCAGAACTAAGGATGTTCTCAAATACAAGCAACAATTAAAAGGCTGGTAGCTTCATGACAGTTACAAACTAAGCCCTAGTCCCAGCTCTAGTTTACTTGAGAGAACTAGTCAGACAAGAGACAACCATGAACCCTTCTGAGGTCAGACCATAGTTCACACAGTAATCTCAAAAACTACTCATGTAAAGGAGCCCAAATTTAATTGGTCCAGACTATGAGCAAGTCAGATCCCAAGGAATTATTGAAAACAACAGGGTAATTGGTCTGGGATTGAGTGGAGCTGGGTGTGAAATTAGAGACACACCAATTAACAGGAGCTCAGAGAAAGAGACACAAAGAGCTCTATTGAAATCACTGTCATCCCAGTTTATACAGTGTACTTATGTTCAAGGCTGTTCCCTCTGAGAACAATATTAATGCTTTTCACTGTGAGAAAAATAAACCACTAAAATAATTCACCCAAACACTAAAAATATAAATAAGCAAACAACAGAAACACACTCAGTGAAATAAAGACTAATATCCAATGTTCCTACAATGTTAGTTGTGAACAAAAAATAAAATGGGGACCTCCTGGTGGCCTAGGGGTTACATATCAGTGCTACCACTGCTCTGCTACAGCCTGAGTTCAATCCCTGACCAGGGAACTAACCGACACACAGCAAAGCAGATCTTTCCTGTCTCACCTGCTGTTCCCCTTAGCAGTGTATTTCAGTAAAGCCACCTGTTCTACTCCCCACTCTATCTCTGGTGAATTCTCTTACCTTCCACACCTCTGGCCTATACCCAAGTTCTTCTACGCAAAAAAATAAAATAAAATGAGAAGGAAAAAAGTGTGACACATGGGGAAAAAAGACAGGCAAAAGAGTCCACCTGTGAAAGGGACTGGCTGTTAGATTTAATTAAGATTTCAGAGTAACCATTCAAAGAACCATAAATTTTTTTTAAATATTTATTTATTTTTATACAAGAGCCAGGGTACAGGCTGGAGGCGCAGGAGGGTGAGTGGTTTCACCAGAGACAGAGTGGGGAACAGAACAGGCAGACTGACGAAATACACTGCTGAGGGGAGCTGTGGGTGAGGCAGAAGGTCTGCCACGCCATGTGGGAATTTCCCTGGCCGGTCGAGAATCGAACCGGTGCTGCAGAGGCTGTGGACAGCTTCACAGCACTGCGCTCAACCAGCTGTGCCACTGCGGAGGCCCAACCATAAATATGTTTTAGAAGAGTAAAGGAAGCCATGCCTAAAGAAGCAAAGGACAGCATGAAGATGATAACACATCAATAGTCTATCATAGTGACAGATATTATCAAAAAAGAAACTATGTACTTAAAAGTATAACAACTAAAATAAAAAATTCAACAGTGAGCCTCAACAGTAAACTTGAATGGGCTTGATCAATAGAAATTATTCAACACAGAGAATAAAGAGAAAAAAGAGTGAAAAACAAATCTCAAAGAAACATAGAACAATAAGCACATAATGTAAGCATCAGAAAGAGAGGATTGAGAGACGCAAAGGAGTAGAAAAAATATTCAAAGAAATAATGAGTGATAACACCCCAAATATGAAGAACAATCTAGACATGCAAATAGCTCAGCAAAGTCTTAAGTATGATAAATGCAGAGATCCACACTGAGACAACACAAACACAGCACAGTAAAAATATTCAAAGAAAAAACCTTGAGAGCAGCAAGAGAAAAATGACCAATCATGTACAATATATTATCAGTTGATTTCTCATGAAAAACAATATAAGTCAGAAGTTAGTGGGATGACAATAGTCTACTTGATGAAAGGAAAAAAAGTCAACCAACAATTCAACATACATCAAAATTATCTTTCAAAAATGAAGACAAAACTGGGTCTCCCTGGTGGCGCAAGGGGTTAAGCATAGCACTATGAAGCAATCCGCAGCCTCTGCAGCAGGAGTTCAATCCCCAGCCGGCCAGGGAGAAACCCACGCACAGCAGACCTCTCCTGTCTCACCCGCTGCTCCCCTCAGCAGTGTATTTCAGTACATCTGCCTGCTCTACTCCCTGCTGTCTCTGGTAAATCCTCTCACACCCACCCCACCCAACTCCCACCTCTGGCTTACACCCCAGTTCTTGTATGCATAAATAAATCTTTTTTTTTTTTAAATGGAGGTAAAATAAAGGCATTACCATCTAAAAACTAGAGAAGTGGTTACAGATAGTACACACCTCAAAGGACATATTAAATGAAGTTCTTCTGGGTGAAAACAATTGACCCCAAACAATAATTTGAATTCACATGAAAAGAAGAAAAGTGTGCTGGTAAACGTAAACTGACAGAATAAATGCATGTTACTTCTGCTATCTTCTCTCAATTGATTTAAAAGCAATGGGCCTCCCCGGTGGCGCAGTGGTTGAACGCTGGGTTGAGAAGCTGCCCGCTGCCTCTGCAGCCCGGTTCGATCCCCGGCTGCTCCCCGGCCACCAGAGGAGGGTCCCACATGGCGCGCAGACCTCTCCTGCCGCCCGCTGCTCCCCTCAGCAGTGTACTTCGGTCCTTCTGCCTGCTCTGCTTCCCGCTCTGGCTCTGGTGAATTCTCTCACCCTCCCGCGCTTCTGACTGTACCCAGTGCTTATATAAATAAATAAAACAAATCTTTAAAAAAAAATAAAATAAAATAAAAGCAATTCTATAGAACAATATGTAGATAATTGTATCACTGCACCTATAACATATAGAAACACAGTATATTTGTGAATAGCTGAACAAAGGAAGTGGGTGGGAGCAGAGCCATACTGTACTAAGGAAATGACTTGAAATAACTCAAATTTATGGGAACAAATGAAGAAAACCAAAAATGGCAAATAAGAAGGTAAAAAATAAATATTACAAATATATCCTCTTCCTTTCTTACACCAGCCTCTTTAAAAGACATAAAATTACATATGATAATAATTATAACCAGGTATCATTGGATTCATAATGGGTCAGGATACAATATGTAGAGCAACAATAATTGCACAAAATTAGAGAAATTAAATAGGAAAAATGTTTCTATCTCTCATCAAAGTAAGTTAATATGAATGTGAAATAACTTAAGATGTATATTGTAAGCCTAGAGTAACCACTAAAATATTTATGTGTATTTGGGGATGTGTGGACATATATAACTATACTGGAATTGATGTTACACAGGAAAATATTCATGTAAGACAAAAGAAAACAAAAAAGAGAAACAAAAAGGACAGGAAATATAGAGAAACAAAAGTAAAGGGCAGACCTAAACCCACTTTTTTCTGGAACATTAAATGTGAATGGATTAAATAATCCAATCAGAAGGCAAAAAGGTATCAGGTGGATTTTTAAAAAGCAATATCCAATATTAAACTATACGCTGTCTGCAGAAGAGACACTTTACATCTAAAGATACAAAACATTTAAAGTAAAAAGGACACTAAAGATGTAAGTACATGCAAGACCCACCAAAATAAAGTGGCCAAATATAAGACAAAATAAACAAAACCAGAAAGTGTTACTAGTGGGACATTTATAATTGATAAAACACTCAATGGAACAAGAAATATAAGAATTATAAACATACATGCACCAAACAACACAGTTCAAATCACATGAAGCAAAAGCCAACAAAAATGAAGGGGAAAATAGATAATTCAGTAATAATACTTGAATGTCTCCAGTACTCCACTGTTAATAAAGGACAAAAAAACAAGGAAATCAAATACTTGAAAAACAATATAAACCAACCAGACCTAGAACAAATCTATGAATACACAACAACATTTATCTTAAATGTACATGGAACATTCTGAGGATAGACCATATACTAGAGCATAAAACAAACATCCACAAAATTAAAATGACTGAAATCAAATTGTATAGTCTCCAACTACAATGGAATGAAATTACAAATCCATAACAAAAAGAAATTGGAGGAACTCAAAAATAAGCAGAATAACACACCCCCAAATAGGAAATTGGTCAAAAAAGAAATCACAAGCAAAATTGAAAAATAATTGAAATTAATGAAAATTAAGACACAACATACCAAACTTATGGGATGCAGATAAAGCACTGTTTAGAGCAATAAATATAGTTGTAAATACCAGCAATCCAAAGGAAAAATTGCAATCAATAACTTCTTCCCTCTTAAGACACTAGGGGAAAAAAAAAAAAAAAAAATGAAGGCAAACAGAAAAAAATAAAATAAAGGTTATAGCAGAGGTAAAGAGAATACAGAACAGAAAATCAACTGAGGGAGATTAAAACAAAAATTGGTTCTCTGAGAAGACCAACAAATTTGACAAAAGTTTAGATTTTTTTTTAAAGAAAGAGTACATTCAGGGCCTCCCTGGTGGCACAAGGGGTTAAGACGCAACCTATGAGGCTGACCACAGCCTCTGCAGCATGAGTTGGATCCTCAGCCAGGGAGCAGCCCACATGGTGCAGCGGACCTCTCCTGACTCACCCGCTGCTTCCATCAGCAGTTTATTTCAGTCAATCTGCCTGTTCTGCTCCCCACTCTGTCTCTGGTGAATTCTCTCACCCCCCTGCACCTCTGGCCTGTACCCCCATCCTTGTATGCATAAATAAATAAATCTTTAAAAAAAAAAGTACATTCAAATGATTGAAATCTAGAATGAAAGAGGGGACATTACTACTAACATTACAGAAATAAGGATTATAAGGGAATATTATGAATTGATTACATATAAATTAGATAAACATGAAATGGAACAATTTTTAGAAACACACAAACTACTGAAACTGATTCAAGAAAATAAGAATAGGCAAACTGAACAAACCTCTAACAAACAGACTGTATTAATAATCCAAAAATTATTCATAAGAAAGTTCAGGTACAGATGAATTCTGTACCAAACATCTAAGAAAAATCAATCCTCACAAATTCTTCCAAAAAATATTAGAGGAAAATATTTCAATTAATTCTGCAAGATGAGTATTACTCTAATACTCAAAAAATATTAGAGGAACATATTTCAATTCATTCTGCAAGATGAGTATTACTCTAATACCAAAGTCAAATAAAGACATCATAAGAAAACTAGAGACCAACATACTTTGTGAATATAGATAAAAAAAATCTCAACAAAGTACTAGCAAACTGAATCCAGTGACATATAAAATGTTAAACTCCATGACAAAATATTTATTTCAATTTTCAAGGTTGGTTTAATAGCCAAACATTAATTAATAAAGAATACCCTATCAATAGAAGGCTAAAAAGCTACATGATCATCTCAATGTGTAGAACAAGATTTACAAAATTTGACACCCCCTTTTCATGATAAATACACTCAACAAAATAGGAATAAAAGGAAACTTCTTCAACCTCATAGACTGTTTCTACCAAAAACCCCACATCTAAAAATCATATTTAATGGTGAAAGAATAAAATTTCCCCCTTAAGATCAAGAATAAAACAAGACTATGAAGAGGAGGAATGAGATAAGGATACCTACAACCATTTCTACTCAATATTGTACTTAAGAGTACTATCCAAGACAATTAAGCAAGAGGATGAAATAAAAGAGATTCAGATTAGAAAAAAGTTAAACTATTCACAGATAATGGAAAAATCTTAGCAAACACTATTAAAACTAATAAATGACATAGCTAGGCAGCAGGATACAAGATCAATAAGGATTTAAGCAGGGGTCTCAAAAAGCAACTGTATTTCTTATAAAGAATAACTATGAATGAAATTAAGAAACCAATTTCATTTACAACTGCATCAAAAAGAATAACATATTTCAGAAACAAACATAAGTATAAAACCAATGTTTTTGTACTAACAAAATGTGCATCCTGTGTGAGGGCTCTTTGTGCACCTATACAAAATAAGCTTACTTTCATCTCTATAGCACAGTCCTTTAAACACCTAAAGGCAACTAACACTCACATTTGTTTCTTTCCTTTGGCACCATGGGACCAATTCCTTTAATTTTTCAGATATCACAGTTTTCCTTAATGAGCTTAAAAGACACTTAAATTTTTCTCTTTTCCATAAATCTTTGAGAAAATGAAAGAAATAATTAAATCAATCACTAAGTTTTTATTCCAGATTCTACTATTTTTTGTGATGCATGCCCTGCTCTCTACTTACACAACTGACTTGTCAAATCAGAGCTTATTTCCTTCTATTAAGTTTCATCATTTGTTATCAAAAATCATTTTTGTGACATAGCTGACAAATTATGTTGGTCTCAGGTGATTCAATATTTGTATACATTGTGAAAACATTACCACAGTAAGTCTAGTTAACATCTGTGACCACACAAAGTTAACTTTCAGGGTTTGTCCTTTTGACTTACTTCGCCTATTTCATGTATCCCAGCTCCACACCCCTCTGGCCACCCCACCAACATATGTTCTCTGAGTCTATGAGGTTTGCCTTACTTGTTCACTTTTAAAAATTGTACACATAAGTGAAATCATAGACTATATGTCATTCTCTCTCATTTTGCTTAGCATAATTCCCAAGAGTCTACGCATATCATTCCAAATTGCAATATGTTTTTCAACTTATACAGTGGGGGTGGGGGGGGAGAGAGAGAGAGAGAGAGAGAGAGAGAGAGAGACTATCCACTGGTGGACACCTTACATTGTTTTCATACCTTAACTATTGTAAATAATGCTGAATGAACAAAGGGTGCATATCTCTTCTAATTAGTGTTTTTGTTTTCCTGGAATTCTGGAAGTAGAACTGTTAGATCCCATGGCAGTTCTATTTTAACCCCTTGAGGAAGCACCATACTATTTTTCACATTCCACAAGCTACACTTCCCCCAGAAGTATTAATATCCCCCTTTATCAACATCCCCACCAAGATTTCCTTCTTGTCTTTTTGAGAACAGCGAGCATGCTATCTCACTGTGATTTGCCTTTCCCCAATGATAAGAGATGTTGAGCATCTTTTCATGTGTCTGTTGGCTATCTACATTTTCCTTTGGAATAATGTACACAGATGATCTGTCCATGTCCATTTTTTAATTGGAATTTTTGCTTTGAGTTTTGTGAGATCATCATCTATATTGAAAATTAACTCCTTATTGGAGATATGATTTGTAAATATTTCCTCCCATTTAGTAGACTGTCTTTTTCATCTTGTTGATGGTTTCCTTCACTAAGCTGAAGATTTTGCTGCACTCCCAAAACCAATGTCAAGCAGCTTATCTATCATGTTTTCTTCTAGAACTTTTAAGTTTGAAGTCTTACCTTCAAGTCTTTAATCCATTTTGAGTTAATTTTTGTTTGTGGTGTAAAATAGCAGTCTGATTTCATTCTGTGCATATTGCTGTCTAGTTTCCCCATAACTATTTATTGAAAAATCCACCTTTTCCCCACCAGGTATTTTTGCTTATTTTTTCATACTAAGTTTCATCTTTTAAAAGCAGGACCATAAGATTTTAGGTGATCATTATTTCCTTTTCAATTTCCCATATTTGTTACTGTTTTTACATATGGATTAGTTTACAAAGAAAAATAAGATTGTTGGAGAAAAATTATGTCCAGTGTACTTTAGAAGTTCTAGAAATCTATTTGATTTCCAGGACAGGGATTCTGCATACAATAACTTCAAAATGCTCATTTCCTTGATTCCAGAAATTCCAATTCTTTTTACCTGTCTCAAGAAACTAAGCTATACACCACAATCTACATATAAAACATTTGGCTTGCTTTTATTTATAAACCAAAAAGCACAAGCAACCAAAGCAGTCAGAGGAATGACTAACTAATGAATTATGCAACCATTAAAATTAAATTTAAAGTTGTCAGTATATAATGATTAATGAAATACAGAATATAAAATTACATCATAGATTCCAATTCTGTGAAAGCAGAGAAAGCATGCACGTATTTTCTTCCAAAGAGACTAAAAGCTTTGAGGAATAAAATGTTCTGTAGATTGCAGTGGTGGCTACATCTTTGTCAAATATTTCAAAATACACTGTAAAGTGGTTGCTTTTGTTAACGTCAAAATGTGCAGCACAATAAAATCAACATTAAAAAAGGAGACTAGGGCTTCTCTGGTGACCTATACGTTAAGTCTCAGCGCTATCACGGCCACTGTATGAGTTCGATCCCGGGACAGGGAGGTAACCCACATGGGGCAGCAGACCTCTCCTGTCTCCCCTATTGTTCCCCTTAGCAGTGTATTTTGGTACATTCATCTGTTCTGCCCTCCACTCTGTCTCTGGTGAATCCTCTCACCCCTGAACCTCTGGCCCCAGTTCTTCTATGCAAAAATACTTTTAAAAAATTATTTTAAAAAAAAGGAGACTAAAAAATACACTCAAAATATTTTTGGGTAATTGTCCTATGTTTTCCAAATTTTCTAAAACAAATATTATTTTCTAATTTGAAAAAATCGGGGCAGGAAGGCATTAAAGTTAGAGAGTCACCCTTTCAAACTACTGAGCATCTAGTGGACACCAATACATATTACTACATACAGAATAGGTATCACAGAATATCTAGAGCCAAACGCTATACAGGTACCTTAAATATTCAGGACATTGCTATTTACAACCACTGTGTATTCCACACAAATGATGCCCCCTACAGTTCTGTAACAGCAGGCCTGTATACTCATTTAATCTTTATGATACTTCTATGAAGAAGGTATGGTCCACATTTCAGATGTAAGAAAAATGGTGTTGAGCATAAGGTTAACTTGCCAAGAGCACAACACTATTTAGTGGTAAAACTGGGATTCAAATCCAGGTCTACTGATTCAAGGCCAATGTTCTAGCCTGTTTTGTGACATGTACTACTTTCCCCCAAAGGCTGATTCTCCAAGTCCCTTGTTACCTACAAACTTGATTAACACACCTAGTCCTTATTCTGTGACCTGAACTAAACTGTCTTGGCTGCTACATATCATATACTATTTTTTTTCATATACTATTTTAACTTCAAACTAACAAGAGCATTCTTAGGTATATTTATTCTGTAATTAACAAAACCATGTTATCATCCAGTCTACACTTTTTTATTCAAAGTCTCCCTCTCTCTACTCATCTCCTCTTACCATAAATTAAATTTAAAAAAATAGTCCATAGGTGACATTTTAAAATTAGGCTGATTTTGCATTTAAAAAATCTCTGGGTGTAAAATTTACCAGTA